CCCAATGATAAAGACTGAGATTATATCCAAATTCTCATGGTTACAAATAATGTTTCAATTAGAATTCTTTTATGTGTCTATGTGGTACTGCAGAGCAAATCTAGGGCTTTGCAATGCTAGGCAAACACTACTACAGAACTGTATTATCACTCCTCAATAAGAACTCTTATTTCTTGGCACTCTTTTTGTTTTGTTTTGTTTTTGGTCTTTTTGAGACAGGGTCTCCCTGTAGCCCAGCTGTCCTGGAACTCACTATGTAGACCAGGCTGGCCTTGAACTCATAGAGACCCACCTGACTCTGCCTCCTGAGTGCTGGGATTAAAGGCATGCACCACCATGCCCGGCCTGGCACTCTTTTTTAAAAAATATTTTATTGAGTTCCAGGACAGCTGGGGCTACAGGGAGACCCTGTCTCAAAAAGACCAAAAAAAAAAAAAAAATTTTTATTGTTTATCTTTTATATGTCTGAGTGTACTGTCTGCACGTGTGTAAGTGCACCCATGTTGCAATGCCCACGGAGGTCAGAAGAGAGCATTGAATTCCCCTGGAACTGGAGTTACCGACAGTTATTAGTTGCCATGTGGGTGCTGGGAATTGAACCTGGGTCTTCTGTAAGAGCAGCCAGTGCTCTTTACTGCTGAGCCATCTCTCCAGCCCCTTCTTGGCACTCTTGCAGTAACGTTTTTTGCTTTGAGACAAGAGGTTGGCCAGCTGTGGTGCTCATACTTGGAATGTTTTAATAAATTTCTAGAAGTTTAAATGCTGGATCAAAAGAGCATGTGTGCAGAGCAAATGTAGCTCAGTGGAAGAGGACTTGCCTAGCAAGTACAATGCCCTGGGTCCCAGCCCCAGCAGTCAGAATAACAAAAAAAGTACATGTGTTTTTAGTTAATAGCTAAATTATCTACGAAAGTCATGTTTATTTATAAATTCAATTGGTAACTTACCCCTAATCAACACAAACTTAACTTTCAGGAACAGAACAGAGAGACTAGAAAGATGGCTCAGCAGTTACATACAGCTCTTGTAGAGGACCCGAGTTCAACACCTACCAACATCTCTAGCTCCATGTAATCAACCACTCTGGGCTTGAGAGCACCTGCACTTGCACATAACCCTCTCCCACCCCCACCCCCCATAATTAAAAGAACAAAAACAAAAACAAAAAACCTGCTGGAGAAAGGGCTCGGCAGTTAAGATCACTTGCCAATCTTCCAGAGAATTTGAGTTCAGTTCCCAGCACCCTATTAGGCAGCTGGCAATGGCCTATAACTCCAGCTCCAGGGTATCTGACACCCTCTTCTGGTCTTTGAGGGTACCCGCACATACGTGGCATACACTCACACAAATGTATACACATATACATAAATGAAAAATCAGTCTTGAGCCAGGCATGCTGGTGCATACCTTTAATATGAGCATTTGGGAGGCAGAGACAGGTGGAGCTCTGTGAGTTCCAGGCCAGCCAGAGCTACATAGTGAGACCCTGCCTCAAAAACACAAAACAAAATGAAACTGTGTGAATTCTTTTCTCTCCATACATTAGTAGCAATGGGTATTCCTCATTTACAGATAATAAGTTAGGTTTCAATTTTTTATCTCATTACTAGGGTTGATCAACAAGGCTTTCATGTATTTATTGTTTAGATTCCTTCTTCCATGGCTATTCATGTTTTTTGTTCACATTTCTACATCCCTATTCCTTTTAACTTCAAAAGTATTGTTATCACAGAGGCTGGAGGGATGGCTCAGCTGTTAAGAATGCTTACTGCTCTTGTACAGGACTTGAGTTTGGTTCCTGGCACCCTCATCAGGTGACTCATAACTGCCACCCTCCAGCTCCAGGAGATCTGACACTGTCTTCTGGCCTCCTTGGGCACCTGCACACATGGTACACATAAAGTTACACAGACACACACATATGCATAAAATAAGTCTTAAAGAAGAATCGGGGCTGGAAAGATGGATCAGTGGTTAAGAACACTTCTTGCTCATCCAAAAAAAAAAAAAAAAAAACCTGGGTTTAGATCCTAGCATCTACACTGACCAGCTCACAACCTTCCCTAACTCTAGTTTCAGGGGCTCCAACGCCCTCTTCTGGTCTCCACAGGCACTGTATGTATGTGGTGCACCTACATTCATGTAGGCAAAACACTCATATACAAAAAATAAAAATAAATCTTAAAAAAAGGATCCAGGTTCAGTTCCCAGCACCCACATGGTGGCTAACAGCTGTCCACAACTCCAGTTCCAAGGGATCTGACGCCCTCTTCTGACCTCCATGGGCACTGCAGGCAGAGATGCATTTATATACATGCAGGTAAAACATTCATACACATAAAATAAAATAAAAAATAAAAGAATTGTGATATTACATATTATAAGCCTTTGCTCTAATTTGGTATTTTACTTTGTTCATGGTAGTTTTTGCCATACACAAGTTTTGTAATTTTGTGTAACTGAATCTGAACTTTATTTTACTAAAAAAACAACTTACTCCAAATTCTGTTTTTCAGCACATATATGTACATGCATAATTACAATAAATGTCCATAAATAATTCTATTATGTACTCATTTTCATATAACAATCAACATACCTAAAAGGCTGCAATGTATATAGGGTCTGAGTATTATTTATTGATTTACTAATTTTAGAAATGGTATTTATAAAAAATAATCTTTCGGTTAGGGATATAGGTGAGGGGTAAGCATTTGGCATCATATACACAAGGCCTTGGGTTCTATCCCCAGCAGATGGAAGGAAGAAAGGAAGGGAGAAGAGAGTCTCATAAGACTTTATGCTTAGTGCTTAGAGTTCTACAATTAGAAATGTAGAGTCACAAGACTGCCCTGTAGGATGAATTATAACAGTTTAACCAAATGACTAGCAGGTTAAGTGGAAAACTTGAAAAACATCTATTAATCATAGGTAATGTTTCCAACAACAGGCAGAATTCCATCTGGCATCTGTACCCTGGGCCCTCTTTAATTCTCTAGAGTTAGTATTGAGCCCTTATTCTAATGTGCCAAAGAAGGCTGTCATTTCCATGAGCAGCTGATAGTAACTAGTTAGAGATAATATTTAACATTTATGGGGCTGTTGTGTTAGTTCTGAGCCTACTGTTCTTGACCAATTGTTAAGATACGTGCCAAAGATGTCCAGCTTTACTGGCATGCGAAATACCTCAGGAGGCAAGGCCAGGTAACTAGTCTCTTAACTGCTACAAAAGGATCCCATTCTCTTTCAGGACAGGATTCTCCCTCTGAATTTGCCTGCTGTGTTCCTGAAACTTTCACATCAATTCTGGTTTGGTAAATACTTTTAACCCTGTGCTTTAGGCTTCTTGTTCCTGGGATGACAATGTACTCAGTCAGACAAAAGGAAAAAGAAATCATTCCCTTGATGAGCAGCTACAATTTCTATCATAAAAAGACACTTTAGCTCTGTGACTCTTAACAAACTTCAAGTCCCTTCACTGTGAATAAGATTATACACACTAGCCCACAAGATGAAAATCGATTTTCTGGGCTCCTGAGGTCAGTCCATCATTGCATCCGCTAAAGTTAAAGAGGTAAAGGCAAGGACATTTGACCTTGGGTGCAAGAAATGCTTTAAATGTTATCTTCAATTATGGTACCTAACAATATATAATGGTACTTGAAATTACACAAGAATGTCAACAAGTTAAGACTTGGTTAATTTTTCCCAAAATTACTTCAATTCATTATACTTGTTATACTTGTTGTAGGGGTAACCAGTTCAATCTTTGTTTCGGATTCTGGTTTAAAACTCAAAGTCCTATGTTCCTGAACCTCTACTCTAGTCTCAGACAAACCATAACAGCTGGCTACCCAAACTTCTGGTCCTATCAAATCTTTTAAGTTAGAAGAAAACTGCAAAATTAGTAATCATCTAACTTTACTGATGGGAAAAGTGAGGTACCCTAAATCTTCAAAGTGTAAAAAAAAAAACCAAAAAACCTCTAGGACATCTAATGTTCATTTGTTTTTATTTTATTTTTATTATGTGTATATGTATGTGTCCATATGTCCATGTGTGTTCGTGTGTGTCCATGCAGGTACCACTGGAGGTCATAAAACGGTGTGGGATCCCCTGAAGCTGGAGTTACAGGTGCTTATGATCCACTTGACTTGGGTACTGGGAACTGAACTTGGATCTTCTAGAAGAGCAGCAAGTGCTCTTAACTGCTGAGCTCTCTCTCCAGCCCCCTTGCTCATTTAACACTGGCTTTTTCTGATTACTTTTAGTGACAAGTACCCACTAGCCCACAAGGCACGCCTGCAGAGCTTAGACTAACCTTGTCAAGGTTTTCATCCATGCTGGCTATACCTTGGAAAATTCTAATTCTCCAATCATTTCACAGGTTACTGTGGAGTCTGCACTTGATTAGTAATGATTAGTTAACGGGGTTACTGGCAGATTTAATGCATGTGTGTGTAGCCTATAGAGTCTGTGTCCCATGCCATCATGTATCACAACTCTATTCTGGTTTTCTCCTTTGATCTCAGAACTTTTATATTTAACTTTGCATTGTATAATCATTCTATTATTGAATACTTTGTGAACACTATCAGAAACTGTGCTAGATACTAGAAAAACTAATAAAATGTACCAATTCTGCCTAGCGAAGAGTAGGAGTAAGATAGGTAAAATAATAGTGTGACCAAGAGTTTCTTACACCTCAGGAAGCTAGAGAAAGCTTTACCTTAGGTGATATGAGCAGGGAGCAATTATATCAATACTCAAGTCTGAAATAGCCTTATGGGCTGGGGGAATAATAGCTCAGTAGACTAGCCTAAAGAGAGGCTCTTGGGTTTAATCCCAACATCACAAAACCAAACAACAGTTTAGGTCCCCTAGCACCAAAGGATACAATGCTTTACTCTCAGTTAAATTTCACAAACCTGCCTACTCCCTCAGCATCTCTGCGGGGCAAATGGGGATGGCAAAGAAAGTTTCAGAAGCTGACATTGTACCTGGCTACGCACGGTACTGCCGGGGTGACTGTCCTCAGACATCTGCGCATTCTGGAAGTAGGACAAGGGTGCGGGTATCTCCGTCATTGGAGCAACAGTATAGAAATACCTTTTCACAGAAAACAAAGCCTCTTGGGGTTCTGAAATGGGAAAGACAAAAATAATTTTGTACATTAAGATATACTTTTATTTGTTAAACCCTCATAAGTGACATTCAGAAACAAACCTTTCTCTCATGTGTTCTCCTCTAGGCCAACCTGTCTCAAGACCTCAAGAGCTGTTGTCACATGTAGGCTCTTGGATTAGGTCTGAAATAGGATTTTACCAAGTCACTCAAAATTACTCAAATACTAATAAATTCATTTGTACTGATCAAAAATTTGCAAACCCGAAGAAATGTGTTAAACTTTATTGTCAGCATAAGGCACCTCTATGGCAATGACCCCTCAAAAAATACAGAGATACTTAATAACTTCAGATCAGAGAGTCAAATGATTTTTTTCTTTAATATTTTATTTATTATTATTTTTTATGTGTATGAGTATATTGCCTGCATGCATATAGGTAAGTGTACCTGTGTCAGAGGCTGTTGGATCCCCCATAACTGGAGTTACAGACAGTTGTTAGCTGTCATATGGGTGCTGGGATTCGAACCTGGGTCTTCTGCAAGAACAACCAGTGTTCTTAACTGCTGAGCCATCTCTCCAGCCCCGGAGTCAAATGATTTTAAGATAAGTTCTCAACATTTCTTTTTCTATGCAGGCTGCTCCAAGTTAATTTTCTCCACATTATTTGTCTAGTGCTTTCAGTTCTGTAAAATTCCTTCTATCATCTCATTTCATCCTACAGTCATCCCATGCCATGGTTATGCACCCCCCATTCCCCATCCCCCAAGGAGAACAGAACTAATCTATTTATAAAACCAGAAGGGAGGGGAGAGTTGGGAGTATATCTCAGTGGTACAGTGTATGCTTAGTGTGTATGAGACCCTGGATCCAACCCCAAGGGGGGGGGTGGAAATCCAGCAGAAGTGGATCCAGACAAGTTCGGTGTCTTGCTTAAGGTCACACTCAGGGACAGGCATAATGGCACGCACCTTTAATCTCAGTACTTGGGACAGAGGCAGGTAGGTCTCTGTGAGTACAAGGCCAACCTGGTCTACACAGCAAGTTCTAGGCAAGCCAGGGCTACATGGAAAGACCCTGTCTCAGAAATAAAAAAATACACACTCAGGCAGATCAGTGTTCTTAACTCTCAGGTTCAGGCCTCTCCTTTTCCACATAGAATAGCATATTTATATGCAAGAGCCCCTAAAGGGGACCATGTTCCCACTGACCAGGGTGTTGGGAGCTATTAATCCATTATGTACATTGAGCTGTGGCAGGCTTGTTTACTGAGTTTGTGTTTTGTACACCAGTACCTAATCTGCCAAGTCAGGAGGAATGTGTTTATATGGTGGAGCTCACAAAACAAGTATTTGACTGCTCCTTGACCCTCAGATACAGGTGGGAAAAACAGCTGTTGAAATTAATTGAGTTAAGATCTCTGATATTCTGGATAAAAAGGCGGAGCTAAAATAAACCGGGGCTGCAGTCTCTACTGACAGTCCTCCCAAGTATCTTTTCTCTGTCTCTTGTTTTTTCTTTCAATCCTCACTCCCCCTTTCAGGTACTGTCCGTATTGGCCGGCTGGCACCGGCACCAGAGTATCTTAATTTCCATCAGACAATTCTTTCAGACCAACATCTCCTTTCATAAAAAAGAAATCTTTAGAAATATAGAAAATACCTGTTTATATACCTATGCATATATTTACTTATCTATCTAATATATGGTGTCTGAACATTATCATAGAGGGCTGAAGACAGCCCAAAGGCAGAGCACTTGCCTAGCACTCTTGAGACACTGGGTTCATTCCCCAGCATAGTAAAAATCAAATCAAAATAAGATACAATCATAAACATTTATATAAAAAATTTTTAGTAATATTCTGTTGCATTTTCACTTTTTTCAAATTTTTTTATTTACTATTTTATGTGTATGCACTGTTTTGCCTACATGTATGCAAGCGTACCGTGTGTACAATGTCCACAAAGGACAGAAGAGGGTGTTGGATTCCCTGAAACTGGAGTACAGACAGTTGTTAGCTGTGCTGGGAACTGAACCTGGGTCCTCTGCAAAAGCAGTCATGTTTTTAACCACTGAGCCATCTCTCCAGCCCCCTTAATTTCCACTTAACCTAGGATCCTCTACCTTCTGTAATACATATTCCAATTTTTCTTCAAGAAATACATAAAGCTGCTTTCCTCTTTAGTGAAGATATTAGGTTCAAATTAGCCCTTATTTAACTACATTTGGATCATTCAAATCATGACAAATTTCTTTTGTGGGAGAGGGGTTTCCTTAGGGGTGGCACCCAAGACCTCATGTATGCTAGACAAGTCCTCATCCACTAATCCACATCTCCAGCCCTCTCAGGACCAATTTCTACTCATTGTAGGCTTTCCTTTATATAATATCTGCTTTAAAGACTATATCCATCTTTCTCCATCCCGCCATGAAAATTTTAAATAGAAACCAAGAATATTTAACTAGTTTATTATGTTCACTTTACCCACTTCACAGATAAAATTAATGTGCCACAAAGAATTTAACTACCTCAATTTAAGGTTATATTTGGCAAGCAAAGGAATCCAAAGCCTCACATTACAGTATACTGTCAATGAGCAAAACCTGTCCCTTCCTCTAAAAGTTCACAGTAATGAGGATTAGGTTATATGATGCTCATTTATTTTTTAACCGCTCAGCCATCTCTCCAGCCCCTATTTTTAAAATTTATTATTATTACTATTATTGAGACAGGGAATCCCTGCAGCCCCACCTGGCCTGGAACTCACTGTATAGACCAGGCTGGCCTCCATCTCACAGAGATCTGCCTGCTCCTGTCTCCCAAGAGCTGGGATTAAAGGCTTGCGCCACCACACCTAGTCATGCTCACTTCTATTACTAGTAAAACTACTGCTTACAAGAAAATGAGATTGTTAATATCAGTAACTGCTAACTATACATTAAAAACCAAGGTGTCGCCGGGCATGGTAGCACACCCTTTGATCCCTGCACTCAGGAGGCAGAGGCAGGCAGATCTCTGTGAGTTCCAGGCCAGTCTGGTCTACATAGTGAGTCCCAGGCCAGCTGGGGCTACATGGAGACCCTGTCTCAAAAAGAAAAAAAACCAAGGAGCCAAAAGTAGTTTGTGGTCAGCATGGTGGCACAGGCTTTTAGTCTCAGCACTTAGCAGAAGCAGGAGGATCTCCATAAGATCAAAACAGCCTAGTCTACATAGGGAGCTCCAGGCTAGCTGGGGCTACAGGAAGACCTTGTCTCAAAAAAAAAAAAAAACCAAAAACAACAAAAAAAAACCACTTCAGAAAAATTAAATGAATTTGCCTGTGTGAGATTACAGGGCAAATGAGTAACACCAACCAAGAACCCAGGTCACCAGAGGTCACTGGATGCTTAGCTCAGTGCTGTTCCAGAAGCTACCAAGACCCCAGTGGTGTAAGGAACACTCCCTGAAGAGCTATACTCACATGAGCACAGAAGGAAGCAGAAGCAGGCCATGGGGCCAGTTCAGGGGAACAAACACACACTGTTGGTACAAAGAAAAGGGGAAGTCCAAGCCAGAATTGATTTTGGTCCAGTAACGGCTGAAAACAACTGATGACTGCATACACAAGGTCAATGACCCCACTGTTCAGGCAGCATGGTAGGAGGCACTTGTAGATTTGATAACATTTTCATCAGAGCCATCGGAACACAAAAAAGTGAGCTGTACTGCAGAGGGAGAGGAAAGCAGGACAGGAGATTTTGGTACTTTTATCTCTGGTGACCTGCTGAAGACTGACATGCTGAAGTGCTTGAATTCACTGTCATCCATTTCCTTTCAAGACACTTGCGCAGAGATAAGCAGGCCAAAAATAAAGGGCCTAAAATGAAACACAAAATCCCTCACCCTCTAACAATCAGATTCTAACTGCCTGAAAGCCTGACCCAGTGCGCCTACACAAACCACTAGAGACTAATTTGTAATGATCCCCAGAGCCTCACCCCAGATGGTGTCTCAGGAAGGACAAACAGTAATATAACTTTACTAAGAAGACAGTGGGCTATCTACCTCTTATCTATTCAAAGGGGACCCCATTTGAAATGCCTCAGGAGGCAAGACCAGGTAACTAGAGACTCTTAACTGCTACAAAAGGATCCCATTCTCTTTCAGGGCAGGATTTTCTCTCTAAATTTGCCTGCTGTGTTTCTGTGTATAGTGTATTTTCTTTCCTGAAATTTTCACATCAATCCTGGTTTGGTAAATACTTTTAACCCTATGCTTTAGGTTTTTTGTTCCTGGGATGACAATGTGCTCAGTCTGACAAAAGGAAAAAGAAATCATTTCCTTGATGAGCAACTACAATTTCTATCATACAAACAAAGATACTAAGAGCTGGGATACAGCTCAGTGGCAGAGTGCTTGCCTGGCATGTGCAAGACCCCAGGGTCAATCCCTAGTACTACAGGGGAAAAAAGGCATCTATACAAAGAAACCCCAAAAGCCCCCAAACTATAAATAATCTCAGCGCTTAGAGCTCCACAAAATAGTCTCTGCAGAGTCTGGGGAGAAGACTCAGTGATTAAAGTGCTTGCCATGCAAGTGTGATGACTGGAGATTGGATTCCTCAGAACCCACATAAATACCAAGTAGGCATGGTGGCTTGCCTGTAATGCCAGTACACAGAAGGCAGAGATAAGGAATCCCCAAAGCAAGCTGGCTAGATAGACTAGCCGTATCAGCGAGCTCTGGGTTTGATCAAGAGACCATGCCTAAAAGATGGAGAGTGATCTAAGAAGACTCCCAAAGACAGCACAAGCAGGCAGGCACAAGCACTCACAGACAGGCGCAGGCACACACACACACACACACACACACACACACCTCACATATACATACATGGGAAAAAAATGAAATAAATTTAAAAAGAAAAATCTGCCAGGCATGGTGGAACACCTTTAATCTCAGCAAATGGGAGGCAAAGGCAGGAGGATCTCTGTAAGTTCAAGGCCAGCCTGGTCTACATAGTGAGTTCCAG